AATGTCGAGTTAGAATAGCTCTGAATCAAGAATGAACAGGACAAATGCTTGTTCTAAAGGTAACTCTGAAGATCAGTGTGGCCAGTGACCTTAACGTTGTTCATCTAAATTATCCTGCAGTTCTACAGTCAGTAAAGAACTTGGTTTTTATCCATTAATTTAGAAAATATTAATTATAAGACATGAGGAATAAAGTCTAGCCTGCTCTGTGTTGCACTCTATTGTGTCTACCATGTAGAGTACTGTTTCTTTGTTTAGACACAGAATCCATACATATCTACTCACTCTTTTGTGATCTAAATGATAGATGTATGTCTTTTTGATAGTTCTCTATATTCTCCACTCCTCGGTGATTTAAATTTGAATAAGAGCCATGTTTTTGTGCTCACCATTAATATCTTTCAAATAGTGTTCCATCTTGCTTATAAAAATATTTCAATAAATTCAATTTTTGTGGAGAGAGTGATTTTAGGCTCCACTTGCTGACACTTAATAATGATGGAAGCAGTGAAATAGTTCATCTCATTAAAATTATTAAGTGAAAAGTTGTTGAAACATATTCATAGATATATCCATTTTCTGGGGCCTCCAAAGAGACTGTTAATTCTTTAACACACTATTCTCCTTTTAATGGCTGGGAAACAATTGACTTAAAATCTAAGAGCAGGTTCACTCTTGTAACAGCAAGCCTAAGGAACATATCTCACAGAAGTAGGAGGGGAATTAAGAGCATTTTTAATGTTAAGAAGAAAAATAGCACTTCTACTGACTAATACTTGAGGAGTGGTTAATTCTTATTAATTCATAATTTGGAAACATAACTATTTGACCTCCCCAAGGGCAAAATACCATAGGAACCTGCTTTTGACCTTTCAAAATTGATGTCAATTATTCTGGTTATATGCTGACATGGATCATCAGTCAGGGAAGCTTGTGACTTGAATCCAGGATTAATCACCTGATATTAACTATCTCTTGAGATCTTATAACACCTTTGCCATAGTTTCAGAAACAAAAATCCTTACAGATTTACAGACCATGCAGGTGAAAGTTTATTGTCAAAGTGAAAAAGTCAATGTGTTAAGTAGTTGAAACACAGTAATCTAAAATTACTAACTTATCAAAATGAGTTACCATTCCAATCAATATTAAGGGCTGCTTCCTTGCAAGCCATGTTATTCATCAATAATTTGATTGAAAATGTTTTGAATGGAGTTTATGCTAACATCCGCTATAATGTGTACATGACAATAGAAAAGCTTAAAACAGGAAAGTGGCTTCACTTTTCCTATATGTTTTAGCCAAACATATGCTTCACAAGAGAAATTACAATGACAGTTCGTCTGCTTTTAAGTCACATCTACTTTATAGCCATGTCTGCTTTAAAGTCTTTGGACATGTGTATAGAATACGCCTTGCTTGAATTATGCAACTGAGGAAATCACTATTAAATAAATTTCAACTACAATTATTAGACATTTTCAGATAAATTTTCATGTCTATTAATTCTTCCTTATGTTATTTGTGTTAATTAATGAGAGAATCTATGCTTGGTGAGGAACAAAATTTTCTTGCTGGTTGGACTTCCTTTGTCCTTCAAATCCTGCAGTTCTAAGTCTGTGGCCCTGAGGTCCTTGCTCTACCTGCTTTATTATGAATCCTACGGGGAAATCTCAAAGACTAGTGAAGGACAGTCAGGAAGCTAAGGAGATGTTGAAGGAAACTAACACAAGAGTGTTTGGGGGATCTTAAGAATGCCAAAGAAGGCCAGGGAACATCAAATCAAAATCACTTTAAACTCAAACCCTGAGGCTAATATTATAACCCCATTTCCAAATTACCAATGTGAGAAAATATATGGTGTATAAGTTCTCTTCTCCTTCATTAATTGGTTTCTAAATATGAAATGGTATTTAAGCAGTTGATTAGTTCTAAAAATGGAAAGACATGAGCAGTAATATTTCCAATGGACAGAAATGCTTGCCTGTATAGAAGCAGGGAGTCGCTGATCTTGGCTGCCAAGTTGTCTGCATCAGCAAATCTTTGGGGCACTCTTGTGATGGGTTTTCTCTATCAGATTATTTGAAATTGGAAGACTTGCCAAAAAGGTAGGTGACACTTTCTGGGGGCAGACCAGACTGAGGGAAATGAATGTCAGTACTGATGAGTATACCCTGGCATGCTTAATCTTTAGAATCAAGGGAGCTTGTGACTTGAATCCAGGGGTAATGAACTTAGGTTTATCTGCTTTTAAGATCCTATAGTCCCTTTGCCACACTTTAGCAAACAAGAATCATAACAGATTTCTGGACTAGGTAGGAAATAATCCATTGCTCAAGTAGAAAATCAAAAACAAACAAACAAACAAAAAGAAACAATGTCTTAAGAAGCAGAACATGTAATAAGTTAAAATTATTAACTCATCAAAACGTGTTAAAATTTTAATCAATGTTAAGATCTTTATGTTTTAAGTCATGTTGTTTCTCACAAATTTTGTCTTAAAATAGTAATCTAGAGTTCAAGATTCCAAGAACAGGTAATAGCTTATCATTATCATTCAGCCAATAAGACCAATTCAGGTCTTGATTCTAAAGTTCTTCCATTGGTAATGACCAGTAAGGACTCTATCATCTCACAATGTTTTGAATCTTTCTGGTTAGAAAGATAACTGGATATATAATATTTTTTCTTTCTGCACATCAGAAAGGTTATGGAATAAATTGTATATGTTCAGATTATTTAGGCTTCACTGAAAGCTAAGAATGTTAAATTATCTATATCCAGATGTAAATCTTTTAGAAAATCATTATATCTTCTAAACTGTGATAATATTGTTTGCCGGGTTTCTTAGAATAAAATGCCTCTCTCTGAAAGTGATGATAAATTCCACTCCAAAAATACCACAGAATCATTGAAATGCTACATTTATACTAGTTTCAAATAAAAGGTGTCATGTATACTATTCATATAATAAAACCAATTGAAATGTTCAGTATAAAACCATGGTTTTAAGAAACTGGCAGAAGATAACACAGGTCTGTGAGATTTCTATTTATTTAGATAAGTCTCCATCTGATTTTGTGTATATCTATATATCTTTTGAAATATAATTAATAGCACCTAATTAGTTTTTGTATACAGCTTAAAAACACAACCATATATATGTACTGAATTTTCTATATCCATTTATCTATTGTGGGCATCAAAGCTTGTTATTTTCCTTACCTATTGTAAATAGTACATCAATAAACATATGTGAAAGTATCTCCATTAAAAATACAGAATTTTTTGGACATATGCCCAGGGATGGTATAGTTGGATTATACTTATTTTTATTTTTAATTTTTTAGGAAAACACATGTTGGTTCCCACGGTGACTACACCTCTTAGAGCCTCCTCCCTCAAATTATGCAATAAGTCTTTCTCTCCACTTTCTCAACTAAATTGGTTGTTTGTTTCTTCATGTTTTCCATGCTGATTTGATTGAGTTGGAATATCATTATCCATATTACAAAAAATGGTCTTCTGATTTCACAGTATCCCTTTCAATATTCCAATGATCATTTTATGGGAGTAGGAAATCAAATAATAAACCTCACATGGAAAATTAAAACAAATAACCCAGAATAGTCAACACAAATCTAAGCCTAAAAAAATGCTAAAGCTACCAAATAGATGATTTCAATAACTCTACAGAGCTTTAATGACAAGGGCATCAGGACACTTGTGCAACAACTGTTGGGTAATAGCATTGCAGACAGGGAGCAGAAATCATCTTACAGCGTTCCAGCTAATAAATTTTATGACAAAATTGTCAAAAATGTAAATATTACAAGAATAGGCATGTCAAAAATGGTTACTGGGAAACTCATTTTCTACATTCAAAAGAACAGATTTAATTTCCATTCCTTACCTTGCACAGAAATTAATCCAAAAGGATCAAAGAATTTATCACAAGACCTATACTTTGACACTACCAGGGGAAAAGATGTAGAAAATATTTAAATATAGGTATGCCTAAGAGAATTCTTCAGAAGCACAGGACAGAACCTGAGAATTAAAATTGAGAATGCATGATATTAAATACCTTTCTGAGAGCAAGAAAATCACCAAATGAAGAGATAATGCAGACAATGGACTAACTTTATTTCAATTGTCTAACAGGAAAACTGTTAGTTTTTAAAATATTTGAATAAATTAGAATTGAACATCTATACACAGATGCTCCCAAACCAGTAAAGAGACTAGTGATCTGAACAGACAGTCCCCTGTGAAGAAACAGCAGACAATCGATACTGCAAAACAGAACAGACAGCTGTTACCATCAAGCAAATGCAAATCACAATAAAAGGGCGAATGAAACTCTGAGAGATGAGAGCGCACGAATCTTACATTCCTGAGAGTCAAGGTCACCTACAAGGCAACATACAGCTACACATCCTCACATTCTCACTAACTCGTTAAGCCGCAAGCATAGGTTTCAAAGATCTTGGTGTTTTGAAACTAAATTTCAATCCAAGGCAGAGTAATGCTCATGAAAACTTTTGGTATATATTCTTCTGTATGAAAATAAAGCAAGTTTCCTAATGCTAAGTGGTTGCTTTATTTGTTTTCTGTCACACATTGTAAATGGCCTTTAAAAGTCAGTAGCTGTTACTCAAGAATAATGAGGTATATTATTTTCTCAATGCACATGCAAATCTCCAATTAACACTAATGAAATTTATGGCAATGAACTAAAAGGACATCTACTTCAGTGTTTTAAAAGAAAGAACCTTTATTTTTTGATTCCTACCTTTTTACCATCTAAGTGCAGACTGGCATAAATAAACAAATTAGTATTAAGCATCAATTTGACACTTCCATTCATGTTGACATTCTGAAATACTGTCTTTAAAAGGTTTTTAAAACTGAGATACAGCTTCAGCTATCAGTTAAAATTATACTTGCAAATCCCTCCTCTGGCATTAATCTCAGAATTATAAACAGTAAACAGGAAAAAGACCGTACTTTCAGGGATCATTTCTGCAGTTTCTTATAGAGAAGAGTCTCTGACTGTGTAGGGTATCCTAGACCACAAGACCAAGGAGGAGTGTTCCCTTTAAAGTGTGCACCTGGCTTTTCCGGAGTGCTGCTTTTCCGAAGCTGCCACTATCTGTTGATGATCCTTCTTCTCTTCCTTTGTTGGGGGGGCGAATGCAGTTTGAGTGGAAAATAAAGGAAAGAAATGAGGAAGGGAGGGAGACAGTGGGAAGAACAAAGGAAGAAAGGAAGGAAGGAAGGAAGGAAGGAAGGAAGGAAGGAAGGAAGGAAGGAAGGAAGGAAGGAAGGAAGGAAGAAGGAAAAGAGTAAACTGAGCATCATGGAGAAATGTAGAAATGACAGATTTTCAAATATGTATGGCCTTTATTTTCATACAAATGCAAAGCTGAGAACTTCAGTATCTGTTTGATAATCAAGTGTATGTACTAAATAATTATTTCCTTCTTAGGTACCTAACACTGTGGTGTTCAATGTAGTTAATCCTCCAATAGTCAATTATTCTATAAAACATGAAATACTATGCCACATATTAGTAATTGAAATAGTATTTTGAAGTTAGTTTTAAGTTTTTATTTTTTGTGGGTAGAGAAGAAGGCTGGTTGTATGGGGCATATTCGAGGGACAACAGAGATTTGTTGGGTCAGTACTCTCCTGCCACCATGTGGGTAGTGGGAATTAAAGTCGGGTTGACAGCCTTGTCAGCAAACACCGTTCCTCACAGAACCTTAATACTGGCCCTTTGAGATTGCTGTATGGTCTGAAACAGATGCAATAGTACAGTTATTTTTTAAAACTGCAAACACAGAATTTTCAGTATGACATGTAGCCATAGATGTGTATTGGTATCTTTATGTTATGAAAAAATAGGAATATTAGGTAAATTGTTGAAGTATAAATACTTACCGAGAAAAACTTACAGAAGTACTAAAGTTCAATTTATTAGACTTAACTTAAGAGAAATAGAAGATAGAAAAATAAACCGAAGTTTGAGTTGGTACAATAAAAAGTAACTCTCCGGCTTCATAAACAAACACTAAAGTAAGCATTTCTTAAAAAAAGATGATTATAGCTCCTATAATAAATATTTTAAGGCAAAACAAAAACATCTTCTTAATCTAAAATTAGTTATTTTTCTTCACAAAAAATCTTGGCTTATTAAGTAGAATCATCTTGATGCTGAGATATTTAGCAAACGTGTATTCATCTGGGATGCAATGATATCTAAACATAGGGATATGATTCTCTAATTTTAAGAAAGTAAACTGTTAAAGCGAGAGTCATGCTGTATTTTTCATGCAAACAAAATGTCTGTGGAAAATTTATTGAATTCCTTGTGGCTATGCCTGGAAGAATGCCCAGGACACAGTAGGTATATGATAAACATGTTTCTGTGAAAATATTAATTAAACACCTCTTCAGAAACCATATATGCAACATCTGAATGTATTTAAGTCTCTCTTTGACATTAGTGTTCAAGGACAGTCACTTAAGGAAGGTGACTACCTACCTGACTTTGTGAGTACAATATGTGATTAAATTTAGAAAGAATGTACAAATTATAATAATTTAATATAAATAGAATATATTACATGCAAAATAGAATTTGGTAGGACGAATTTCTTATGATAACATTTACTTCAAACAAATAATCTGCTTTGAAAAATCATGATTTTTTGCAATTATAAATTTTATGTATATTAATTTTCTAGTTTATTGATAGGAATTATCATACCACCATATCAATGAATATATTCTTAAAAATCAGAAAAGAGAAAGAATATTTCAAAATGGTTGGTTTTATTTATGTAATATTTTTATGTTTTTTTGAGTTAGATGAGTGAAATTATAATTATTTCTTTAAACTGAAGGGTGTTTCTTTGCACTAGTTTGGCTAAATAAAATACTGACTTATCGTGTGAAACGTGAATCAATACTAATTTAACCACGGATGAAAAAATTTTGGTGTGATCATATATCTGACCCTGGTGCATTATTAAATGTAATTTTTATTTAAATTTTTAAGTATTGATTTGTAATATTATTATATCTTTGCTTATCATCATTTCAACACAATCATGAAAAAGCTTGGGTGTTTCCTCACAATCCGTATAGTGTTTTATCTCTAAACAGAGTATCATCAAGGTACTTTGGACTGTATTCTAGTTTTTTAGTTTATTGTTGGCAGCTTTAATCCAGTGAATGTCTTGGTATTTTATTGAACTCATCGTTTTATGCTGCCATTCAAAGATGTAAAATATCTCTATCTGCTTTTCAAAATGGCTGGGCCTTCACTAGGACTCTTCCTAGATATCCGGTTGCTGCCCTATGGTATGGAGATTCTGCAACTTTGAGTCTACAGGCCAGGCCCCTTAATATATTCTGGCAGATCACAGATGTGGTGGATGTTGTGGCAAGCCAAGTCATAACCAAGGATTTGTGTCTAGGCAGTTGTAGAGTTGATCTGCCAACAAGTTCTCCCCTGTCCTCACTATGAAGGTGACCTCTCCAGCATTGCCGGGGCTGATTCACCTCTTACAACCTGCTTTCCCTCTCTTGGGGTCTGCTCTTCCACACATGCACCATTAGGGCCAGCTCTATTGTGTTGCCCAGAAGAGGTGCAGGGCCGCTTTCCGTTGTTCTGCAGTTGAGTGACAGGGACAGCCCTCCTGCTCTTATGACATCAGGGTCAGCTCCACCACCTGTCTCAAGCATTGAAGGGCGGAAGGTGGGGAGGCATCTCTCCTCTCATGTCAGATGAGTAATGGGGGCAGCTCTCCCTTGTTCACTACTTCCGAGCTGGTTCACCTACACCTCCACTAACAGGGTTGGCTCCGTTGTGTTGCCCACTCTGTGTGCAGGACTTGCTCTCCTGAGTGTTGCAGTTGCTGGGGGCCAAGCATAGATCGCCCACTCTTGTGGCCGCAGGACCAGCTCTCACACCTGCCGAAGGCATCGATGGATGCAGCAGGCAGACGGGTATGATGACATCTCTCCATACTCAAGATTCTGAAGCTGATTCACACACACTTGCGCTAACAGGGTTAGCTTTACTGCCTTTCCCTGGCAAGGTGAAGAGGCTACTCTCCTGAGTGTTGCATCTAGTGGATGCTGGGGACAGCTCTCTCAATCTTTTGATCACAGGCCCAGCTCTCCCATTTGCTTCAGGCATTGATGGGAGCTGGGGAGAAGAGTAGCTCTAAGTCACCTCAAGACAGATGAAAGACAGATGAGGAATGGTGACATCTCTCTTGCTCACTAACGGGCTCATCTCCAACTCCAACAGGGTTGGATTTATCGTGGTGCCCAGGAAAGGCATGCTTACTGTTCGGTGGCTCTTGTGCCCTCTTGGTTAACTCTGTCACATTCCTCAGGTGTCGGTGGTTGGGGCGGGGAAAAGATGAGAAATGGTGACAATTTTCTCATGCTCACAACTTGGGGACTGTCTTACCCACCTCTGAGCTATCAGGGTTGGCTCTATGGTGGTTCCCTAGAGAGGTTTGGGCCTACTGCCCTTAGAGTTGCAGCTTGTGGCAGGTATGGTAGGGATAGCTCTCCCACTCCCATTACCTCAGAATCAACAGTCTCTGTATTGCCTTAGGCATTGATAGGAGGCATGGGGGAAGGGATATCTCTCTGGTCATGTCTCCATGCGACAGATGAGGAGTGGGCTAGGTTTCCCACCCTCATGTTCTCAGGGTTGTGTTAACTGAGGTCTCTCACCAAGAGTCTCATCTCTGTTGTACTGCCCAGGCAAAGGGCTGGGCAAGATTTTCCATGTTTTGCTGCTGGTGAAGGGGCCAGGGCACTCACCATTTCAGCTTGCTACCTTTCTTTATCTTCTCTTCAAATATTCCTCTGTCCACAGCACCTGAACTACTAGATGGGCATGTGTTTTCTCCTCAGAGTCTGGCGTAGACTGTCCCAGGATTGTCTGTGTGTCTCCCTGTCCCACTTAGGTAGCCGTGATGCTGTATTGCGGTATGCTTCCTCATCACAAAGAGATTATTTAAGTGCCTAACCTCCCAATGCCATGGGCTCTTGTTTAATGTGTTTGCCTGAGTTCTACCAAAACTGGCCACAAGGCGTGGGGTGGGGGGTTTTGCTGGAGTCTTGCTGTCGGCTGGGGTTAGACTATCTGACTGGTGCTTGCCTTCATACTGCCCAACCCAATCTCATGCGTGGTGTTGGGTGGGGGCTTTGATCAAGTAGTCATCTTTATCTACCTTTTATTTCTAACTCTGGTATAAACATCCAAAGGGAAAATTTTAGAAGATATTAATGGGAACAGATCATCATCCAGCATTCTTTACATGATTCCAGAATAATTGCATTAACATTAAAAAATGTGTCTTGTCTTTAGATTTAATTAATATGATTAGGGATTCAAGGTATTATATTAACTTCTTGAGTAGAAAAGGAATGTAAAACATGTTTGACAATTACTAAATGAATTGGAAGAAAGTTATAAAGTCATTTATACCAATACTCAATATTCCCCACATTAATTATGATTGAAACATAAACCATATAATTTTGTAAGTGCACAGTGGATGAAAAAGGTCATGGCCTTGTAGTCTAGATAGACTATCAATTTCTTGTTCCTCAAAGTGGAAGAAATTAACACCAAAATAATTTATTGAAATGATCAAAGGGTATATCCTGCTCTGTAGCTCATAATCCAGAAATATAGAGAAAATTTAGGAGGTGTTGCTTACATGTAGAAATTATAAGTGCATTGTCTTAGATACTGTTTTATTGCAGTGAAGAGACATAATAATGAAGGCAATTCTTATAAAAGAAAGCATTCAATTTGCGGCTTGCTTACGATAGCAATTATGGACATGAAATTGTACACTTCCGAGGCAGGGCAACAGCGCAAGCACAAGCAAGCGCATGCAAACTCACAATCAGTCAGCAAAATCAGCTGACCAAAAGCACTGTAACTATTAACTCATACTCCTAACTAATAACGACATGACAGCAGTGACCGCCAGTTTCAAAAGGACCAACCAGAAACATTCCTGCGGCAGTGTAATATCCCTAACCCCATTAAAACCCTCAACCTGTTTACCATAAAGAGCTTCTTTATTGGAATCTCCCAGTGTCTATGCCATTGCCTCTGCATGGTCTCATCCACTGCCTCCTCCCCGCGGGAAACGGGGACTACGC